ACGCTAATAAGGTTAATATCTTATTTATTTTAAATAAATATCATTTAAAAATATTATATTTTATAGATACATTTTAAAGTTTATAGCAAAATATTTAATTTTGGTTACCTCTTAGCCCTAAGCCACTAAATACGCTAATCGGTTACACTATTTTTTTTTCTCTCTCTACTTTGATACATCTCATTCTCTTCCCCATCCCATTAAAGTTTTCGATCTCCTCCTCCTTCCACCGGAATTGTGCAAAGCCCACTTCAGAAATTACTGTATGTGTTTTGATTACAAAAATACCCTCGGCGTCAGCAATGGAAATAGTGCATAATCGGAATCAATCGCAGAGTAAGTCGGTGGCTGCTTCTTCCTCTTCTCTGTCTAGTTCGCTTGTCATTTCTCCTCCGTCGATATCCTCCATTGTAGTAGGAGAATTGTTAGAGTATAGTTGCACTCGCAAACTAGGTGTCGATTGCGAAGGATGCACGGGAAATAGGAGGGCGGGTCCAAGGAGTTGCTCAAGTATATTTGTCTCTGCCAACTTCGGTTTGTTAGTGGAGACAAAGGTGTCTCCAAAAATGGTGAGCCTGGAGATATGGATATTGTAGGATGATTTTATGTTAATATATTTCAATGTATTTTCATGTATTTCATTGTATTCATTTGTCTTTTTTTCATTGTAATTCAATGTATCTCGTTGTATTCCATGTATTTCATTGTATTCACTGTCTTTTTTTCTCATTGTATTTTAATGTATCCCGCTGTATTCTATGTATTTCATTGTATTCACTGTCTCGCTATATGCCATGAATGTATTCATAAGTTTTTTTTAATTAATATAATTTATGTATTCAGATGTATTATATAATTTCTCTGAAGATTGCTATGTTTTTGGGATATTTTTCGGTTGAGAATCTTTTTTATAACTGAAAATACAAAATCTGTGTGTTATAATTGAGTTTGTTGAGTTATATTAGGAGTATATTATGTTAATTGATTCACTTTCCGTTTTAAAACCAGTGTAATCCCCTATTTCATGCCGTGAACACAGTCAAATACAATAATCTGTCCAGCTGTAATCTCATGTTTCACTCCATGAATACAGTCGAATACACTCGAATACAACAACTGATTAGCTGGACTTCTTGATTCACGCCTATTTTTGCTGTATTCATCAATACAATAGCTTAAATACATCAAATACATCTTATAACCACATAAAATGTATCATAATATAGCAAATGGTATCTATGAATGACTAATTACTACTAAAAGATAGTGCTTTATGAAAATTTTCCGTCTTCATTCCTTGGTAATCAAAGCCCAAAGATCTATGAATTAGCCCATGCTTGACTAGCCAAGCAAACAAACGATCCTGCATCTTTTTTATCTCTCCCTCATTTTTATTTATATAAGTATTTCACATTTACGATGAAATTTTTAAAAATTGACCCACCACTTTTTATTCTAGACAAAGGAACATAAATTAGGACAAAGAGAGTACTAATATGCAATTCCAGAAATATGTAGTGAAGAAACTATTTTTTATTAGTACTTAAATTATTATTAGCTCGTTAAAACTTCTGTAATTTTACTTATTAGCTGGTAACTATCACACCTTTGCCGGAATGCCATTGATTTTTGGGTCAAAGGGGACGTTTTTTGGGGCTTGTAAATAACGTAACAGCTATGGAGAGTTGGTACTGAAGAAAGTGAGATCCTAAAAGGAGTCCCCTCCATATAATTTTCTTCTTGAAATAAACTTACCGAGTTTTATCAAAAACTAGTGAATTTGACCGTGCTTCGTGCAGTTATAAAAAATAGCAATAAATTTAGAAATAGTAGTTTTATAAATTTAGCCAATGGGATAAATAATAATTTTCTTGTATATGCATATAATTATAATTCTTTTATATTTATTAAATAATAAAAATAATATATTTACCGAAATAATAGTTTAGATAATCTGCATATTTCATTATTAAACCTTTTTTCCATAAACAAAACAAACAAAAAAGAATTTTAAAGAAACTTTTTCACTTTTAAATATGTGTATGTATATTTTCTTATTCAAATTGAAGAAACAAAAAATGAAAACTAAAGAAACTAAAAACATAAAGAAAGTAAAAATACCAACTTATTATTGTTCACTTACATATTCCAATTTCACCCAAAAAAAAAAAAGTTAAGTGAAGTACATATAGTACAACTAACTTTGCACTTCTCTTTCTCAACTACAATTTTTTTCTTTTTTAAAAATAAAATAAAATAATTTCAACTCATTCATAGATGTATGGACAATATTGAAGACTAAACATTCAAGAAAAATTGCAACGGTCCTTGTATCAACTGGATTATGGAAAATTTGAGAAGAGGAGAGTTACAACTACTAATTTGCTAAAGAGAGAATAGTCTTGTTACTATTTCTAACATTTATCAAGTAGCCTGTGAATTGTGATTCAATAATTCAGCACGTACATCATCAAATCGGCCTCGCAGGTATTATTTTGTTGAATCTAAAATAGATCATGAAGTAAAACATGAATACTCAAGGTTTATTACAACTTTGGCCATCAGCTTTTGTAACCAACAAAAAAAAAACATACAAATGTGTGCTACAGTCACTCAAGTCTCCAACAGAAGATAAGAACTACGTAGTAAACAAAAAGTTACTATAATTTTCAGAGTATACCCCAGCCTGTAACGAAGGGCTCATTAATACACATTTTCATATCAAAGATTTTTAGTGAAAATACAAGTCAGTTTATAGTATAGTGTCTCACTGGGTCATTCTTCGGCTTAAGAAAACAAATCGTAAGAAATTAATAATGGAAAACAGTTTCCAACAAGCTATAAATCAGAGGTCATAAAGGTCGTCCAGTGAATCATTTTCGACAAAATAAACTTTTCTCTCAACTGCACAACTGTCCTAAGCTTAATTTGCTTCTGTTTCCATAGAAATTTTTTACAAGCTAACATAAGTCAAATTAGAAATTGGAATAACCATGAATACATTGCACAGAGGAGTAAGAAATATGCTGAAAATATTTATCTTATATAGTTTACCTTTCAGATGAAGATTTTCCACCAGAATTTGAATAAGTCTCGACTGCCTTTTACTCTCTTCATCCGAAATATAATATTTTCTTCAAATAACATCTTCACCTAAATAAATTTTTTTTACAATACTATGAATAAGGTAACATGAGAGGTCAAAGAAATTGAGGAAGACAAAGAATTTTAATGGAAAAAAATAAAATATGTCAAGAAGAAAGTTAAAAAGAGTAGAATTGGAATGATAAAAGAACAAATAGAATATCAACGAATGCCAAATCTCCTTGTCTTGTTTAGCTTATACTAGTTAGAGTATGCCCGTGCTCTGCACGGGCTCAACATGATAGATCTCTTTTTAATTGAAAAACAACATAGTAACATTGTTCTTATAAATAAGATTTTGCAAAATTTAATTGAGAAAAATCATTATGCTAAATTCAACATCAGAAAACCTAATGACAAAGAAAATATCATTAAATAATAGTAATGCTTTCTATTTTGTGAAACGGACACTTAATTATTTCACACTATATATCACCTAGAGACTCACATATTGACTTCTAAGGTAACCTTTATTCTTTTCAGTTACAAATTTTTGATAGATATAATCGCATATGTTACTGTTTGAGTAATCACGCAAGAACTATTAAGCAAGATAAAATATGTTGCACATTCAGCTAACATGGACGAATAGTTCGTGTGTCAAAATAAAGTTGAATCTCTTTATTTAAGATTACTAAAACTAAATAGATTGAGTATGACTATTCATTCAAAAGAGTAACATCTTATTAGGCCGCAAGGATTGGCTCCAATATTGCTACAAATCTACTTTAACTTCAGCTGAAGTAAAAAGCAGATCATCAACAATCAACTAAGAGAACAATATCAAATTATTATTTTAGCACAATCACTTATCATGCATTTACACATTAAAGTGGACTTTACAGCATAAGATATTAGTCCACAAACAATCAATCTGATAAAACATTGAAGTAATCAGAGTCCATGAACCAAAATGTGGCTTCCAAAAGTTTCTCCTTTTCATCTATCAAATGTGAGTAGTAAGGAACTGAAGCTTCTCTTTGCGGTACCTTTTCTGGTATTGCTCTTGACTGCCTTTTTTAGGACTACTATCTACTTAAACAAGTAAAGAGAATAGGAATCAATACATGATTTTTCTAAGCCCGTTCCTAAGGAACTTAGACTTGAAACCTTATTATATTTCAAGAAACCTCTAAGCACTAAGGGAAGTCTTTTAACTTGGGGCTTTAGAGCACCCATTTGCTGATACAGAACGACAGTAAAATTAGTAAAAACGAATACTTAAAATTCTTTGGGACATTGCTCACTCTATCTCTGCACTTGAAGTATAAATTCAATCGGCTTGTGAATGCTAATATGTAAAGGATTGAAAATTGTAATATCAACCTATTGAAGAGGATTTAGGCAAAACCAATTAAGTAACAGAACATCAAGAGAGCTATGAGAGTGGGAGTGTAGTTTTCTCTCCAGATAATTTTTAATAAACTGAATGTATCAGGAACAAACAAAAAAACAAAGTTAAGATCCATTTTCATTCACAAGTTCAGTGGATTAAGTTACAGAATAGACAAAATTGTGAAGGGGAAGAGGTGTAAGACTTTACCATACATATATGAATCCAAAACGGATTTCTTTTCCGGCGGCAAAAGATCCTAAAAAGGTAGATACTTCCTGCGGTTGGCAAGCATAACTAAGAGTAAAAAGAAGATAATTTTGTGAGAAAGAAGCAATTCTAAGCTGCATTATATTATAATTATATCAATTAATAATCCAGAGGAAAGAAGGAAATCTCACGCATAAATACATAATGGGACTCACCTTTTATAATTTATTTATGGTGTTGATGGTTCTAGTTTCAGCCCTGCGCTTGAAGATTCAGATATCACATTTGTTCTTTCCATTTCGACCTCATTTGTTCCTAGAGCCTTGGCTTACTTTTTGCTTCTCTCGCCAATATTTGGTGCAAAGATCTGTTCCTTTTCTATGTAGGACAACACCGATAGACTTGTATGCACATTGTCAGAACTTTTCAAGAATGATTATCTTAATTGAATTCGGAAGATTCTGTCCGAAAACATATCTAGGACATTGTTAATGTGTGTGACTTATTTCTAAAAGTGAAAGATAATTTTTTAGATCTAAAGTACCAGGTAAACTAAGCTGAAATGAAAGTACCGTAAAAGTACATATAGATGAATTTTTCATGCTAAAAATAATTAAATTGTGGGTCACATAATAAGAATATACATAAAATATACTAATACAAAATAACTAATTGGTCTAAGTTTGCACCTGTCACATGCTGTGTCAAATATATCTTTTGTTGTCATGTCGAGCATTTTTTCAGCTACATCACCCAAAATTACTGCAGTTGTTGAACCACTACCATTAGTAAAATTAATCAGGAACATATACATGCAACTAAAGATGGTATAATATATGTACATATATGATATATTTGCTAAAATGATACTTCTAAGTATGGTAAAACTATAATACCCGAGGAAGTAATGTTGTCCATTTACACTTGGTGCAGTCAAAATCTCTTCTTTCCTTCGCTCGCAACTTTTATTTGCAGCCCAAGCACTCAAGCACATAAAAACTACTACATGTCATTTGATATTGAAATTTCGGTCTCAACGTGAAAACTTCCAATTTGTCAACGAACAAAAAATCACATGTTTATCTCTGTTTTATAAGTAAACTTGTACACGTTTAAATATCTACTACACTTACCGAAGTTTGTGACTGAATTTTTCCAATGAGGATAATTTGTTGTTGAGCAGGAATCATCATGAGAGAGGCGAATGACCGTGAGAAATTGTCTGATGCATAACTTGCAAGCGTGTCTTTGTTTGAATTTGCTCTATCGTCACAACATACAGGGTATTCAATATTGGTGTACATATATATATATATTAGTTAGAGAATAACAATAAAAATCATATATCAGTTGATCAACTCCAACACTTATGGATAAGCGGGGATCTATTTGTATTGTTGAGTTGAATATAGCTTGCAGTAATAAACCTGTATATGCCACAATCTTGGTCTAATATTGTATTCTCTTTTTCTCTATAAAAAAATATATAAGGAAGAAATCTGAGTACACTCGTACCATTATAAATTTCTATAGTCCTTCTAAGGATTACTGGATATCATTCATCGTCATTGATTTTTGGCTCAATTTTCTGTTGCAGTTTGGTTCCTTCGACTTCTGGAAGTCAAATGATCGCGAGAAGTTGTCTGTGTCTTTGTTTGAATTTGCCTATCATCACAATATACAGGGTAATCAATATTGGTGTACACTTACATATTTTAGTCTGAGTGTGAGCACGTGATTTTTGCCCTATATGAATTAATCCCACAAATTCAAAAATAATTTTTTAATTGTTTGCAATTTCGTAGATTTTTCGTAGCATTTCTGTTAATTGTTTGCATTTTGTTTGTGTAGTTTAATTATTGAAAAATGCAAAAAAATATACATTGCATCTGCATTTAGGATTTAATTTTACATATTTTGTAGATTAATTAGTAAATTAGCGTTTTACAAAAATAGAAAATTACAAAAAAATAACTCATTTTTTTTGTTTTGAGTTTCGAATTTTGGTAGTTTTTATTTTAATTGGATATTTAATTATTTATGGTAATTTTCATTTAGAGTTAAGTAATTTAAGTGGGTAGGATAATTTTATTAAGAATTAATTTAGATTTTGAGTTTTAATTTGAAAAGAAAAGAAAAGAAAATCAAAAATTGAGTTTCATTTGTAAGAACCCAAAATTGGGTCAGCTTTTGTTTTTAACAATTCCAGGCCCAACCTTTTTTTCCCCTCAGATCCGGCCCAGATTGGCCCCAACCCGGTCCGTCCAATACCCCAACCAAACGGTGTCGTTTAGGCTGAAATGAATCTCAGCCGTCTATGAGCTTTGATCTAACGGGCCAGGAATTGGGGTTCTCCACGTATATAATTGTCCAAAACTCCAGCCCCCTACCCCCAGTCATCCCCTTCAACCTTTTTCAAAAGCCCTGCCGAGCTCCGCCCTAAGCCACCGTCCGCTGCCCGCCGGAAATCGCTTGCGGCGGCGGCCGACGTCCAATCGCCGCCAAATTTACACCAGATCACCGTCTCACCCTCCTCTTTCCGAACCGCCACTCCTCACGTCTCAAATCTGGATACAATCCCGCAAATCTTAGATCAGAACATGAAACCCTAGCGCCGCCACGATGTCTCCAGTGGCGGCGCCACCTCCTTTCAACGCCAAAATCACACCCAAGACCTCCTTCATCTCCTTTTCCAAAATCCCTAACCCATATCCTTTAAATCCCACTGGTTCATCTCAAATCTTAAATAAGACTAGACCAAAAACTTAACTTTTCCCAAATCACCCCAAATTAACACCCCGGAATCCCCGTAGTCCTCTCTTTCCCAATCTCAAACTCTGGACTCTCGAATCACCTTCAAGCTCGTCGAATGTTGAATCTGAAGCCCAAGTTTTTGAAGCCAAATCCATGCCCGTGCATGCAGAGTTGTTCTTTGATAAAGAACAAACACTTGACGTCATTTAAGAGTGCCAAGCCCCAGGTTCGAGTTTTAGTCGGTGAGTCCTTCCTTCGTTTCTTGGTTCATCTCTCCTCCTTTTTCTGGTCAATTCAATTGAAACTCGGTTAATTGTGGTGTCTGAGAGTTGGTCATGTTCTTGTGATCTTCGTTAAGTTCTATTTTCCCAAATTGGTTTCTTTAATTGTTTTGATCCATTAAGCACGACTTTGTTTGTACCTCGGTTTAATTATTCCAAACCTGCTTAGGGTTAATTTTGTTGTGTCAACTTTGTTATTATTGATCCTGTCTCCTTTTAATTCATAATTGTCAAGGTAGTCAGTACGGAGTCAGATTGTTTATTCGTGTTACTGTCACTTAGTTTTGTTGGGGTTTTTGGGTCAGAGCTCGAGTTTCTGAATGTTCATTTGGACTGATTTGGAACCAGTCTTGGGCTTTTTGAGTCATAAAATGACCCAATTCAAGATGCCCGGTTGTTTTGACCCCAAGTTTGTTTGGTTAGCAAGGTAAATAACATGGGCATAGGGGATAGTTTGGGTATTTGGTTGAAGGAATCTTTCTAATAACATAAATGGGAAGCTTCTTAGAAGCTGACCTTGGGACCTATTTGAGTTCTGGAAAATTAAGCTAGGGACACTTAAGCAAAAAATAAAATTTAAAAAGGGTCTAGGTGCAAATTAGAGCACCTTTCAACAACCCTAATGCCTTGCCTATAAAGGCATCGATACTTGATATTCAAGTCAGATGGGGAGGAAAAAAGGACCCCTGAAAAGCTGAAACAACAAGTTTTTTCTGAAATTTGTCATTCCCTGTTGAAAACTAACAAAAAATTCTTCTTGTGTTCTCGGATTTTCTGATTCCTCTATTGCATAGAACTCTTAAAAAATCTAGAATCATATTGTTTGAAATTGAGAAATGGCTTGAATCTAGGTTGGAGTTGGGTTTGGTTTTGCTTGGGAAGTACTGTTCCATTGCTTGTTTCGAGTTAGTTTTACTGGTTTTGTTCTCTTTTGATGGGTTCTGTGTTGCTGATGTTTATTGCCAATCCTTAACTTCTTTTTCCTTTGTAATTTCCAGGTATGCCTTGGAGACTGTCATGGAATTGAAGCCTAACTGAATTTGTGTAAAGATCTGGAAACTTGAGTTGGAATTTAAATAAAAACGCCATCTCTTGTTGTAATTACTGTTGGATTTGGTTATCTTATGTTAGTAAATTCCCCAGTTCGATAGTAACTTAATTTTCTTTGCATGTGTTGGTTCGCTTGTTCATGCTATTGGTTTAAGGTTGTGTTGGCTATTTAGAATAGAGGCTTAAATTCAGAATGTCGGCATTGTAGTAAGGATTGAGATCTATCATATGAGTGGAGTGTCAGACATGCTGTAACAGAAGGTTATTTGAGTGTGTTAAGTTAGTGTTCCTGTAGTTTGAGGTCTTACTTTGCAATTTAAAAAGGTTTGCGGTATTTTACATAGTTAAAACTGTCGTTTGAATGGTCTGAGTGGGCTTAAATTTCTTATGTTTTGTTGTGAGAATAATTTAGAAATTAATTGCAAGTATGAACTACTGGTGTTTGTTATCAATGCATGGGATATTAGAAATGTTTGGAGAGCTGATAGCTTGTTGAGGCCTTGTTGTTGGATAGGACTTGATTTCGAGTCTTAATTTCCAATTTTGAGTTTTTGCAAGTCTTTGGTCCCTGGAACCTTAAACTTCTGGGCCATTTTCAAGAGAGGATGGCACGTTGGATGCATTGGGCTTGTATGCTGAGCCCAATGGCTTGTATGGTCATTGTTGGGCATTTCACATAGCAGACTTGATTCAAACGCATGCTGAAAAAAATAAAATCAGAATTTTAGTTTAATTAATTTGTATCAGTTATTTAAAATCATAATTCTCATTTGTTGATTCGATTTCACATTCCCTGCGGTACCAGTTGAGTGGCATTCTTGATTGGCATAATAATTTGGAGCTTAGAAGCTGGGCCTAATGCAGGTCCAGCTGAAGAATAATCACAATCAGACCCATGGACGTTTTTTATCAGAAATTGGGCTTGGTTAAGCCCAAAGCTTGAAGACATTTTAAAAGAGGTCCGTTCAGTGGTGTTCGAAATAGCTTCCCTTTGGGCCTTTAATTTTCTAATGCACTGCATTTTAGTAAGCTTGTAGGGTAGAACCTTTAGTTTGAACAGGTAGAAGTTCCGCAAATTTTCCTTAGTTAATTAATTGGGCTTTTCAAAAATAGATTGGAAATGTGCTATATTAGGTAATACAAATTGCTTATGGCCCTCCAAAGTTTAGTTTGAATTCTCTTTAGAAAAAGGGAATTGGGACGTGCCATGCCAAACAAAAATCTCAATTGCATGGCCCTCGTTTAATTGATCTTGTTTGTCCTTAGAAACCGAGGCGTGCCATTTAGCCAATTTCCATGGCCCTCGCAAAGTTGCAAAATCGTAATTGCTTAGGCACGTTAGTTTAATAATATTGCATTCCTAAATTCGGGTGCGCATTTATGTGACCCAAATCCAAATCACAACGATGTTAAAATATGTCAAAGATCACGGGTGCATTTATGTGACGTGGTTCGAGACGTGTTTTAATAATGTTGCAATTTTCTTTTAAAATTGAATAAAAGCGGTTAAAAGTTAAAATTTGCACATAGGTTCACAATTGTTTAAAATCAGACAATTAAGCTGAATATAACAGTTGAGCGACCGTGCTAGGACCACGGAATTCGGGAATGCCTAACACCTTCTCCCGGGTTAACAGAATTCCTTACCCGGATTTCTGGTTCGCGGACTATTAAACAGAGTCAATCTTTTTCTCGATTCGGGATTGGAACCGGTGACTTGGGACACCATAAATCTCCCAAGTGGCGACTCTAAATCTTTTAAATAAATCCCGTTTCGATTGTCCTTTAATTGGAAAAACTCCCTTTTATGCCCCTTTACGGGGGTGTGGTAAAAAAGGAGGTGTGACACCGAGAATAACAATAAAAAATCTTATAACAATTGATCAACTCCAACGCTTATGGATCAGCGGCGATCTATTTTTATATTGTTAAGTTGAATATAGTTTGCAGTGATAAACCTGTATATGCCACAATCTTTGTATAATATTGTATTCTCTATAAAAATATATAAGGAAGAAAACTGAGTACACTCGTACCATTATAAGGAGATATTCCTATAATCCTCCTAAGGATTACTGGATATCCTTCATCGTTATTGATTTTTGCCTCAATTTTCTA